AATATTTCTGTGATCGTGATTATGATGAGCAAAAAAACAACGAAAGTGTTTGGCAGGTGCCATCGATTTCTGCTGGTAATAACTGGTCATCAGCCAACGATTCTGTTCAGCAACTTCCAACTTCAAGCGGTGAATGCAATTATCTTGTAGAATCAGTTCGTGCATTTAGCTTAATCTAGAAGCGCTACTATTTATTATTGCAGAATTATCGAAATCTTATCCAACAAATTTAGCAACGGGTATTCATTGTTTAAATTCAGTTAATACTTCCGATCTTTGATCAGTTGAATTCTTTTCATTTCAAATATCATTTGGGAATTGTTTTTAATTTCATTTCTTTATTCAGTTCAAAAAATTCTCTCTACTGTGTTTTCATTCTAATTGAAAATTTTTAATTCGACTTTTCACAAACATCTTTCAGAGCCAGTTTTTTCATCGCCGCACTGTACGCTATCATCTCGACAAGAAAGATCCGATCGAGTGCACGGAATGCATCATCATAGCACCTTTATCGATGATCCACTGGGACTTTCTGGAAGTCTTTTTGGTCGAGGTTCGGCGAATATTTGGGCCAGCGACCCACGTTCAACAGCAGAAGTAACATCTTGGGACAATGGATCCGAGCCTGATCCGAATTCTGCTGCCGTTTACTGGACCGAAATGTTTTTAGCTGATGACGATAGAGGAAAGTGCCCATAGCTGCATTGAAATTACAACTGATGATATGAAAACGAATTAAATAACATAAGAAACATTGCTCATATTTGATGTAAATAAAAAAAACCTCATCCACGTATTTGTGGCGCCTTTTGTTAAATGAAACATTCATATCGATTTCATTATCTGCTGTTTGCTGATATTATACACCAGATATTACTTAAAACAGAACTGTGAAGAACACAGTTCTCTTCCGTTTTTAATTCGTCCGTAAATGTCTCGGAACTGTACATTCGTAATCAGAGAAACAAAGCATACAGCACGAAAATTTTTGATATTGCGTGCGTTTACTTCATATGCACTGTTCTCAATTGCATTGCATGCATTACATCCCAAATAGTTCCTAAAATTTTCAAACCAAAATGCACAGTACATTTTGACTTCATCTATGCGAAGAGCTGACAAAAAAAAAAGGATAATGAAATTAATTATTTCAGAGGTATTGTCGCTGTTCAAATTTCAGTAATTAATTCTTGAGAACTACTGTTATGTTACATAATCACTATTATGACTCGATCAGTTTTCACGTCCATTAGGTTTATCGGTGCAAATACGAAATTGATAGTTGTGAAAGCCTGCTACGGTGTAAATGAATACAGTAAAACAATTCAGTGAAATTACCAATAGAAATCCATAGGGGTCTAACAGCTCCATGCTATTTTTCTTTTCATCGCTTTTCATAAAAAGCTTTTATCATTTCAAAATTTCCGAACTTCTATCAGTATCTGTTACAAAGAACCGTTTGGGTGTAGATGAAATTGAAGCCACCGTTTTATTTGTCTAATATTAACCGAAGGTGCTAGTTTTTGTCTATGGTAGATTTTTACATGTAATTATACATATGTATATAATTTGGATACACAATCTATTGTAATTTCAATCTTAATTATAAAACTTTTAATCACTAATTTTATCCATTCATACTATTGATTAGCTTGAAATAACTAAAATGTTTCATATCATGGAAAGATTTTTTATAAAATGTTTCGCATTATAGCTGTTACTACGAAAACTGTTTTAGTTGACACATTTTGAAATTTAAAGTATTTCAGTAAGTTTTTTTAATTTTTATTATCTGTAAAGTTAAAGGAACAGAAATAGGATTCATGAATAATTTGAATATCGGTAAAAGCACTTGATTATTCATCTTCTTTATTCCTTTTCCTCTTGATATTGCTATTTTACAGATTGCTGATCAGGTCCGTGTATTTCTATCTTACATTTCTAAAAAACAAATTTATAATCTAATGTTACCCATCGTTTAAATTTTGTGATGTATTAAAATTTCAACAAATTTCAATTAAAAGCAAAAATTGGCGAGAAATCAAATTAAAGAAGCAATTAAACAAATACTTCTTAAAACGCTGAAAACTTATGTCTATGACAAATAGTTCGACTAAAATAGTTTTTTTTTGGAAGAGTATTTCACAAAAAATGAATGCATTAAAAGGGGAATGTAATTTTAAATTGCTAAAAATAATTTTCTGTTTTTGTGTTTTTATCCTTAAATCAAAAAATTTCATTCTGTATCCTTCAAGATATAGCAAGTTGAAATAAGCAAATGAATTCTTGCTCTTTTTATTATAAAAATAAAAATATTGATTTTGAATTTGGAAAAAATGTGATAAATGCTTACCAAATCTTTTGTTACATGTAATACTGCAGCAGAATTATGCATAAAATAATTTGGTGCCGAAAAGATCGTTACTAAATGATTACCAAATTTTTCATAACCATTTTGCATCACCTTAGACGGAAAAAAAGAAATTAGCATAATTGACTTACTAATGACTGGATTAGAAATTGATATAATGATTGTTCCCAGTAAGTATAGAATGGTCGAAATTAATTTTATACGGATTAAAAAATTTTTCAAACAGCGTTGCGGTTCTTTTTTATCTCGGGCATTCCAATTTTTTATTACTTTAATTTTATTCATCAAAAGAAGAACATTGAAAACTGAGAATGGAATAATAATTTAAAACTGCAGGAATTTAATTAATTAAAGAATGGTGCAAAGAATGTATCTTTTTTGCCATTGCATCACTAGTAATAATAATAATAAACATAATAATTAATAATAATAACAATAATAATAATAACAATAATGATGATAAATGATAAATATTATTAACATTGTTAGTATTATTAATGTTCGTTATTTGCAATAATAATACACAAAATGCACCTGGGACTTCATTAAGAAGAAATTAATGAGTAAATTTGCATACTTGATGTGCTCGCACTATCATATCTAAACCAAGTGTTTTGCAAAATTCTTTTACAGCATTAATACCGAATAATCGTGCAACTCCACGTCTATTATTGTAATCATAATTAGTCACGTTATAACTTGGATCAGACCACGTCAAATCGGTCAATATGCCTAAATCTGGAATTTCACATGGTCGTTCAATTCGTTCTAGCTAAAAAAAATTCATGGTTAGCTTCTTCTGATCAACAGTATTGAAATTAAACGATTGAAATTTGAATATGATTCAAATGTTAAGATTAAATAATTGAATAACTTTGAAGTTTTTCAGAAGTGTGACTTTATGTTATAAAAATTTAACAATCTCAGTAAAGTAAAAAACACGTCTCAGAAATAGTCTATTAGAATTTATTTTTTTTTAATCTAATAGAAATCATAACCAAACTATAGTAATTCTACTTCAGCTTTTTTTCATTCCATAATTTTTTGTTATCATGCTAACCGGTTGTTCAAGAAATGTCTTGATAAATTTTCATTTACCTGTGCAAGTTCTGCTAAATCTTCACTTATTCCACCATGCATGCATAAAATTCGTTTTTGTATTCGTGCACAAAATGGCATACAAAAAAAAGCCATTTGAAATGTGTCAAATAATGCATTCGAATATTTGAAATAACTTATCATATAAAAATGAATTGAAGGAAATTGAAAGATAAGAAAAAAGTCATTGAATATATCAGCAGGTAGTAATTTTTTTTTTTTTTTTTTGAGCAATGTATAAATAAAAACTCCTACCCAACATAACGATTTACGGATAATGGAGTTTACAACCGAGAGCAATAATTTACTGATGATCATTTTAACTCACAATGATTTTTTGATTGATAAATTTTTAAACATGTAATAATTAAATTTTACTTATGATGATCTTTTCTGAACGATAATCATAACAAAAATAACAGCAATAATTTATTAGTAGTAATCTTTTTTAATCAGATAATAATAACAATTTACTGGTGCTGATCATAACTATGATAATTGATGGCAATAACAATTTACTGATAACGATCATTTTATTTTTTTTATAATTATAAGTCTAATTGTAATAATAAAATAATGTAAATGGTAATGATCATGACATACCATAACAGTAAGATCAGCAGGATCATATAATTATAATAATGAAATCATCAAAATGGCGACTGTTAACAGTATAATGGTAATACAGTCAATTTTTTTCTTTCAAAAATCTTTTATAAATAGAAATTTCATTTTAGTAAAAAAACAATGCAAAAGTAGTGAAAAATACAACATAAGTATTCGACGATACCTTAACACACATTCATCGTAAAATCCATATCTAAGATTGACACAACGTGATTCATGATTTCCGCGTAAAAGATATATATCACGTGGATAGAGTATCTTCAAAAATACCGTCATGCTAATAGTATCAAAATATTGGTAATTGATTCCTTTTCTTTTGCTATATAAAGATTAAACAAAAAATTTTTATCACACTAATTTATCGGTGCAAAAAAATGTATCAATTTTTTTTTACTTTTCAAACCAAAAAGTAAATACCAAAAAATAGGAATAATCAATCGATTTTTAAATTTCAAAAAGAAACAATTTAGTAATAAAACTCTCCTTCTCTTTCTTTTTATTTTCAAATTAAGAAAGAAAAATATATTTTGAAAAACAAAAAAAAGATTTTACAATGTTTTTTTTTACACCAATAAATTAATGTGTAAAAATTTTCTTTACATTTTTATAATTTACCTTATAAGCAAACAAAAGTGTTACAACTTCGATAGAAAATGAGCCACGATCAACATAATCACCGAGAAAAAGATATCGTCGATCAGGTGGAAAACCATATAAAATAAAAATTGCCAACAAATCTTCAAATTGGCCATGAATGTCACCACAAATTGTTATTGGCGATTTGGGCTAAAAAATTTTAAAAAATTCAATTGAAAAAAACTTTGCCTCTTTTCGCAGATTTATTAATTGGAAGGCTTTGCTAGTTCATTTCTTAAATCATATATGTCTCATATATTTGCTATTCTTTCTAGGTGTTCTTAAGTGAATTAGCTCATATAAAAATATTTTACAAATCATTTTCATTAATAGATATGTATGCCATATTTTAATGTTATATGTTGCAAAAAAACGAAATAACAAATTAATGGCATTTTTATTTAAAATTAGAATCAAAATCAATAGTTGATAAATTCAAATTTAATCTGATATTAAAGATAGAAAGAAAAGAAAACTCAAAATTTCTACCTCTACGAGAGTGGGTTGCATCCAAAATACTTCCCTCGCTCGATAACATAATTCAATTAATTCATTCTCAGTAAATAACGATTGGCATAATTTTGGCTGCCATTCTTTAGTAAGGCGCATTATCACCGAAATTAGCCATTTTTTCACCTATTATTAATTTATTCATTTAAAATTTCAACAGGAGAATTTTAAACAACGAATTTGCTAATATACTAAAAATTTTTACATTTGTAATTATCAATACATACCGCTAAAAGTATCAGAATTGTTCAAATGCTTTTTAGCGATATGTACTGAGAAATTCAGTAACACAACCTTTTGAGTATTCAAGTAATATATTGGGTATCTAGTAAGTGTAATATCATTTTCAAATATTATCCTTTAGCAACCTCAAATTATATTTTGCACTGAAGAAGCAACGCAATAATAAATATCACTCTCGAACTTTGCATTTAATTTTTTCAATTCCTTATAACATAGAATACTTCGATATTTAGCTTAGATCATTGTGTTTAGAACAGAAATGAATATGAATAACCAAAAACATACTTTTGCTTTATTACCTTCAATCGATGTTTTGAATTCCTTTGTTACAATCGGTAATTTTTCTAATGATTTTATTGATAAATCTTTGTTAACAATGATATTTTCAATAGTTTTATAATCTAATTGTGATGTAGAATGGTTCGTTTTTTCTGTTTTAGAAATCTCTCTCTCCGCTCTTTTCTCTTCATTTGCTTCCATTTGTAAAATTTTCGAGTAGTAAAAACTTCCTAAAATTTTGAAAAATTTTAAAAATTCAACACACACACACACACAGATCTTCTTGGTAGCAGTTATAGATATTATGAATAATGAAATTAAAACAAATAAAATAAGGAGAATAAAAAGAAATGTATGAGAATGTCTGGTAAAGATAATATTTGGGGATTATTATGTAATAATTTTAAAGTTAATCACAAATTTTTCATCGTTTTTTCTTCAAATATTAAATTAATTCTGTCACAATCATTACTTCAAACAAAATAGCTTAATTAGTTAAGCTTAACAATTCAATTGCGAATAAATAAAAATTTGAGTAATGTCAGTTCAATTAAAACATCAATCTTCATCTATAAATAAAATTTCATCATTTAATGCTTATTATAAATGTTACCATATATCTATATTCGAATATGAAACGCATTTTAATATAAAATCATTCCCAATTATGATGGAATTTAAAATAAAATCATTCCCAATTAAGTTATTTTGCTATAACATTAAAGAACACTCATTTCATTTCAATATAGTTAGCAAAAAAAAGTTGAATGATTTAGAGATGAAAATAATGCACAAACACATCGATGAAAACTGCTCGAATCAAATCAACCGAACACTTCAATCAATTCAGTTCTTACTACAACTTTAGAAATTTGAAATCATATTTATGAATTTTTAATTTTATTTCCAAATTTTTTTACTTTTCCTTTTTTTCCAATTTCTTTCTGTTTTTCTCTATCCAAAACATTTCCTTTCCCATTTCTATACTTCCTCATTTTTTCTTCTTTTCTCTCATTCTTCCGCAGATATTTCATATTACTTCGTTTCCTTTTTTTTGGTTAGCTATTTTTTTGATTCTAACTAAAGTGAAAGGTATGTATTGTTGTGGTGAGTGTGTGTGTATATGTGTGTGTGTGTGTGTGTGTGTGT